TATCTGATTGGTACTCATTTCTTTGGGAACAGACAAAGATCGTTCATTCATATTAGACAAAGAACTTGTTCGTTCGTTGAATGACCGTTCTTTCTTTCAATACTTTTGTTCGACGAAATCACTTCTTCTTTCTTTATCAAAATAAAAAACTTTGTTTTTTTCAAGATTTTATTTTATGATAAAAATAATTTAATTTATTTAAAATCATGCTTCAACATTTATCAACTACTAGTCCTTATGTTTGGTTCGTTACAGATGTTTTTATTTTCTCTGTTTTATTAATCGTTTTTATATTCTAGTGATTTAAGTCGTGGGCCTATTGAACCAGCAAATCGTATGGCCTCAACACCCACCAACAAAATAAATGTTTTACTTGAACAAAAAGAAAGTTTTTCGAAAGTAATTCATGAAATGAATTTCATCATTCGAATTTTTCAAATTTTTTTTTCCATTAGACACGTACACCTCTTAAACTTCTTGGACCGGATGAAATACCAATCGATATTACTATAACAACAAATGATATTAATGCAAGTCTTCAACCTGTATGGTATACAGAACAAACTATTGTTGATGATCACCACGTACAACAAGAAGATAATACATCAACAATTCAAGAAAAATCTCGAACAACCTTAACACGTGCAACATTACCACCAAAACAAAGTGAAAGTCCATCAATAAGTGAAGATGATGAACTTCCATCAAATCAACCATCATTAATGCATAAATCATTAACATTTACTATTGAACCATCGATAAATGTTGATTCACAATCAGATGATTTAGAAAAAGAAAATCTTAATACTGATGATAACAAACCGTCAATCGCAGCAGCCCCATCTGATGAATCATTTCGTGCACTTGAACATCTCTTAGGTCTTGGTTCATCAACAACTATTCGTGAATCACCTAAACCAAATCATGATACACTTTCATTAACTGTTGTTACACCAACTGATATTATTAATTCAACAACAACATCATTACGTATGAGTTATGCACCAAAAACTACAACAGATAATTTACCATTATCACAAGATATTCCAATTATGCCAATTATTGAAAGTATAAATTCAACAAATCCACCATCATTTCTTATGGATAACACTGCAAATGAAGAGGAACAAGCATCAACAACAATAAATCAACAAGATTCATTTGATAATATTGAAAATAAAACAAATACAGATGATGAAACAGATTTTTCATTTGAATTAAATGATTTTTCGAATAATTCAAAACCTGAATCAATCGTTAATGTTCCTGAACCACCAAGTCAACCAATGATTACAATTCGTGCACCAACATGTGCTGACGTTGCTTATCGCGCTTTAATTAAACCACGATCAAGTGCTAGAATATCTCAACCAGTTAAAGTTGATTCACCATTAGCAACATCAAGTAAAACAAAAATTTCCTTTTCTTTACTTTCATAAAAACAAATCTCTTTCTAGTTAAACCTCGTTCATCAGCTCCAGCATCACGTATTCTTCGTTCAAGCTGTCGTCGTATATCTACTGATTCTTCATCACAAAATTCAATCGTTCAAGGTAATTATTCAATAAGTATAAGAGTCTGAAAGATGCTTGTCTAACAGCAGTCAAACATCGTAGATCAAAAATATTTTGTTATAATATGTGAAATGCTTTCTTATTGCATTTCTTGATAAGAATAATGACGAAATATGTTTCAAAATAGATTGATTAAAGCAAACTCCTTGTAATCAGCAAAAGCAGCTACATTGTATTTCATCTTTAAGTTTCGCAAGGATTGTACTAACAATTTTATCTTCTAGAACAATCACCAGCAAACAACGAATGTTTTGTGAATAATGAAAATGGAACAAATACTGAAAAACAAAATGAATTTGTAGAAATTATTAGTGTACTTGAAGAAGATGAAAATGAACAAGAAAAAACAAATTCAATTACATTAAATCTTACTTCATCAAAATCAACTGATGAAATTAATCAAAATATGTCTAATCAAATGGAACAAATTTCTACACCAATTAAATCATTAATGCCACTATTATCACGTGAATATACATATAATACACCAAAACGTCGTCAATCACAACGTCGTCGCTCAATGTTAAATTCTTCATCGAATTCATCAATGCTCACTGAACAAACAACTATAAATGAAGAAGAATCTAAATCACCAACAATACCATCAAAATCAATGTTAAATATTCTTTTAACAAATACAACTGAAACTGAACAAAAATCATTAACAAATATACAAACACTTTCACCTGTTCAATCAACAACAAAATCTCCATCAGTCACATCAAAATCAATGTTAGGCATTCTTTTAACAAATCCAACTGATATTGAACAAAGTGTTTTACAAGAAACATCAATAAGACCATTAAATCGTGTATCAACACGTAAAAGTAAACGTTTATCAACAAATTTAACACCAAGAGTTAGTATTAATCCACTTCATTCATCAACACCATCAACAACAAAACGACATAAATCTTTACAAATGGTTTCAATTGGAGAACAAGAACAGGTTTTAACAACTGTTCCACAACACATTAATAACGATGATCAAGAAATTGAAATAATACCACTTAATAAAACTGAAGAAAGTATTCAACAACCAAAAACTCCTCGTACAATTGATACTAGTGTTCAAACAACGCCAAGTCTTAATACATCATCACGTCGTTATTTAAATACAATTGAACAACAAACAACACCAATTGTTCAAATAAATAAATCAAAATCAAGTATTATTATTCATGAACAACAACAACAAATATCATCAATGCAAACAGAAATGGTTATGAGCTTACAACGTAATGTACGTTTTCAATTAACACCAACAACTGATGCACGTTTAGTTGAAAAAGAAAAACTTGAAGAAACTTTACGTGGTTTAAAACCAGATATTATCATTAATCCAATACCAATTATAACTCTACCAAAACAAGAAACTGTTAAATCAGTTAAATCTATTCGAACGAAAAAAAATTCTAAAGCAAATAAAAAAGTAGTTACAATGAAAAAGAAAAAAGTCATATCAGTAAGTTTTAGATTTTCTTGTTCTAATCATATAATCTTCTTTTCCTATTTAGAATAAGAAATCACAAGTGAAAAAACCTTTAAAACGACTTTCACCAACAAAAGTTTTAAAGAAAAAACCTGAAAGTACTCGAACAAAAAAACGTTCTCAACGAAAACGACTTAATCTTGAAGTTACAATTGAACCAGCTGCTAAACGTACTAAAACTTCAAAACCCATTCAAAGTAAGTCTTTAACATATAAACCTTCAGTTATCTCACCTACTATTCTATTTAGTTCCTTTACCATCATTGACTCCACCAAAAACACGAACTGCTTTAACAAATAATAAAAAACATAAGTCTGAATCAGTTGAACGACATGCTAAACCACCAACTGTTCCAAAAACTAATAAACAAAACAAATCTGAACAAAAACGACGTGCTTCGAAAAACAATAAGACTGAATTAGTTAAACAAGAACAACCAAAAGCTTTAACAAACAATAATAATAATAATAAACGTGAATCAATGAAACGACAACGAAGTACTTCTGCTAAGAATAAAGCTCAATCAAGTGCTTCTGAACACAATAAGCCTGAACCGATTAAACAAAAACGAAATGCCATGAAGAAGAATGCATCAGAATTAAGTACTCGGGAAAAGAAGAAGCCTGAACCGATTGAACAAAAACAACATATTTCGGAAAAGAATAAAGCCGAACCTGTTAAACAAACACGAAGTGCTTCAAAACAGAAAAAATCAGAAGCAAGTGCATCGGAAAATAAACCTAAACCAATCGAACAAAAACGACGTGCTTCAAAGAAGAATACAACTGCATCAAGCTCTTTGGAAAAGAGCAAATCGGAACCAGTTAAACTAACACGAGCTGCCTCGAAAAACAAGAAATCTGAACCAATTGAACGACCAGTAGAAATAACTGTTGAACCAAAAATTACTGAATTAATAATTAAAACAAGAAAACGTCGATTGGAAAGTGTTGAAAAAAATGAAGCATCGAAAAAGAAAGTTGAAATTCAAAACATTGAAGTAAATCAAGATGAACGACAAAAGGTAAAAAAATTTCTTTTTATTATAAATTTAATATTGAATTTCTTTATAATGATTAGATGGAAGAATTAACTGTTGCTGAACTTAAATCTCGATTAAATAAACATAAAGAAGATATACCAAAACGTGCGAAGAAAGCTGATCTTATCGCTTTACTTATGAAAATAGAGACGAATTTACTTAAAGGTAAGTTGCTATTAAAATAAAAATATTGTTTTCATTTGCTTGTCTTTGATAGAACGAAAAGAAGTTGAAGCACCAATTGTTAAGTCAACCCGCCGCCGCCACAAGAAATAAATTTCTTGTTTAATAGTTCAATTTATTTTTTATTATATTATTGCATTTCGTTATTGTTAATATTTGATTATTTACTCTAGATGTTTGTTTTGTATATTTTGTATAGATATTCATGTAAATTCTATTGAGCTTGAGTTCATAACTTGTTTGTCTATCTATATTAGATTTAGTGTTGTTGCTTATCTTGATTGAAAAAAAAATCTCAATAATATTGTAGTTATATTTTCTTTTTTTTTCGTTGTTGTCCTATGTGTTCTCGTATGTTTGAATATCGTCTTAGTTTTCTGAAAATAATGTATTATTATACATGACATGATTTAATAAATTTAGCTCAACTATGGGCTAGAACAAAAATAAAAAACGATCGATATTTATGTTCTGTTTTGTTGATAATAAGAAAGGATACGGATTGATAACTGTTGAAATTAGTTTCTTCGAGAAATTTCATTGCTTTTATATTAAAAACTTGCGTAAGGTATCTAAACATGAGCTCTGATACAATTAGTTATATTGCATTTATTAGTGCTGTTTACAGCTTGATTAAGGCAGTTGATGATAGTCACATGTAAATTGAACGTGACTGTTGATCATAATCAGCTCTTGTTATACATCTATCTCATGAGCAACAGGGTTATTGTCATATGCATTTATAGCACTTTTTTATAGGTTCAAAATGATATAAAAAATTGAAGAAAAAAACACTGATCAGTCAAAGAAATTCCGATGACATTATCGATAAGAAAATTACAAGTTCGGCGAAAAAATTATATTATATTGTGAATCAGCATCCAAATTTAAGTTCACTTGCTAGTACTTCAAAGTGAAAAATTCATCCCTAGATTCTTCTAGAGTTGCGTCAAACAAAAAATTTCATGAAAATTCTGTTTTTATTCATTATCCATCTTCTACTAGTAGTTCAAAATGTGATGTTGATTCAAAGTGCTATATTAGTGTCTAGCCAAGTCATAATTTCCTTATCACAATCTACTGAGTATCAGTGAAAAATAGACTCAAAATTTTGTCTTGAAAATAGTATTCTGGGCAATTCTTTGAGTGAGTAGTACTTGTTTCTCGATGTGTTCATACCAATTTCTAACTCTTGAAAAGCACTATTGCACTATATAATGACGGTTATTGACTATTTCAATCAACCTATGTTCAGTTCAAATAAGGACTATGTAACTGAATCTACCAGAACTCACTTTCGGTTCGGTATAGAAGAAATCAAATTTCTTGAGATGGTCTATTTCAATAGTTAGTGACAATCCTCCTTTTCAGTTTAGTTAACAATTGATTTATTTTGATCTTTAGATACTACTCTCTGATGATAAATTTTCATTAAAAAAATATTTATCTCGAAACGTCATAAAGAATGTCTCTTTTTCTGTTGACTAACGATAGTAATTCTTTTCTTTTGTGTCTTAAGTATAAAGGACAATATGGTAAAATCTTCGTTTTTTCATTCAGCTATGTTTGTAGTTCATGTTGATATAGTAAAGGCTTTTGAAATACACTGTGAACATTCAACAACATTTTCATTTTTGCGAAAGTCATTCACAAATCAACACAACAGAGAAAAGTCAGCAAGCTCAGAAAGAACTTCATTCAGTTATTAATCAATTTCAATAGTACACTTTGGTTCTTTTAAAATAGAGGATCAGAACAATGAGCATGCAAAAAGCAAAAGTGAAAGTAAATATGTCATCAATTCAAAGATCAATCTTTGTATATGGATATAAGCTAGTAATGAGAAAGTTGAATTTAGTTTGTTTAATATTGCAGTACATCCAACAAAAAAGTATGATTGAATAAGAAAAATGTATTACTGTTGATTTGCTATACTTTCATCCATCATTGGAGAAAAGTTTAGAAAATAATTCACTGTAGAAAAAAATTTGTATTTATTAATTCGAGTAAAGAAATGTTTCTCTTGTAGTAATGAGAGTATAAACTTGGTACAAAGCTACTATTAATTGCTGATTAATAGAAATTATTATATGTCGTCTTTTTGAGTATTAAGCCGATCGATTTCTCTTTCATTTTTTCTGAATGTTTTAGTGAAAAAGAGAAAACATTTGTAATTTATATAATAGAATTAATGGAAATTCTTGGTTTAAAGATGATCAAAATGAAGTATATGATAAGTCCTAATTAAACACAGCTACAGCAAAATATCGTAAGACATTAGGTTTTCATGAAAAACATTTGCCTTTTGATCAATCTACTATAACACCATGCTTTTGCTTAGATTGATCAGATTTAGGGTAGTTGATGAACAAAAACAAACAGTAAAGCGCTAGAGAAAAACGAAAATTTTTCAAAATCGAAGGATTAATTTCTCGCTTGGAATACGTTTGACTATCTTAGGATTCGAATGGAATCTAAATTGATAAAGATCTGCAATACGTTGCATCAAAGGTTTAATAATTCTGATCATGTATCGGTGAATTTGTGAAAAAAAGAATCAGACTTGACTAAATTAAATAATTTTTTCTCAATATTCAACAAATAATTATCGGATTTGATGCCATGTTTTCTTTGTCAATATTTCTAAAGAACAGACAACGAAAAAAAAAATTAAAAAAATTTGATTCGATCATATCAAACAAAGACTCCAAGGTATATTTTAAAATGTGACGCTAACTGATAAACCTCCGTTTTCCTTCCTTCGATATTGACTCCATCAGAGGTCACTAATGAGCACATATCCTCATAAGAATTGATTGGTTCTTTTATCCCGACATAGTTTTATTTTCGCTTGCTTGTCTTCGTCGTCTTACCTCTGTCTGATCAAGTATATATCAATTAGTCAATGGATTAAAATTAACTTTTTTTTGTAAATGTTTCTATATTTTACTTTTTTTTAGATTGCCAAATATTGTAATATCGTGTTTAATTACTATTGAATAAAAGTGAGTCATGAATTTTTTATTATTTTTTAAATCATTTGTTATTCTTTATCTAGATGGATACATCAAGTTATACTGGTTTACCAAATAAACTTTTTCAAGGTTTAACATCAGTTAAATCAACATTAACAACTGGTCATATTCTTGAAAAATCCGAAAAAACATTTATTGAAAAAAATGATAGATTTCATCATCATATGGCACGTAGTGTTTTAGGTATTCAAGCACCATTAAAATTACAAACAGAATTACAAATAGCTAATAAACTTGGTCGTCTTCCATGTTTACCAAGTTCACGTTTAATGGTTGATGTATTACGTGGTACAAATGAAGATATTTCATTTGATGATATATTAAATAATCCATATGAATTTGGTGAACGTCAAGTAGATCCACATTTAGCTATGGATAAACAAGATCAATTATTTTAAAAGAAAAAATAATGAAAAACTGATTAAACCAGAATCGAAGTTTTTTTTATAAAATAAAAAACAAAACGTTAAAACGTGTTTTTTTTCGCTTTCTTTTTGTTCTTGTAGATATGTATGATTAAAAATTAAATTATGCCAAAACATTTAAAAAAAGGTGAAAAATTATTTTTTTATGAAAAAGTTTTTTTTTTTATAGAAAATAATATGTTTATATTAAAGATCGACGTTCTCGTAATGCACCGAATAAAACATCTAAAACAGAGGTGGATGATGATGCACCAGATGATGATGCTTTAAGTGTTTGTTCAAATATTTCTGATGCAACAAGTATTTATGATGAAGTTGAAGGTAAAAGAAAAAAGAATGAAGAGGAATTATCTCAATTGATAGGTTTTATCATTTAGCTAGCGTTTCAACAGCAACTAGTGTGATTCTATCATCGGATAATCTTGATGAAAAACTTGATTCTGCAATTGAAGAACTTCGAAATAAAGAGTAAGATGAATTGATGTGAATTTTAGATAGAATCTGTCGGATCCGAAATTCTGGGACTCGGTCGAACCGCAATTTGACACTCTTAATGGAGGTTTTCTCAGCGAAAGTGGAATCACCACAAAGATACGAGATCCTTTTCTTCCGGTTTCTCTATTTGGTGACTAGCGCACTCTTCGTATTTCTTGTACGACTAGCGTTGATCGAGTTCGAAATTTTTGAATTCGGCCCCAACTCGACGAGTTCTAGTCACTGAATGGATGAGTTTCTCTCAGCATTTTATTAGTATCTTCGTCAAAGTCCATGGCTTCGACTTGAATTTTTTACTAGAAGATTCTACGTTCAGTTATCTATAAATTCATTTAAAATGTTTTAGCACAACAACTACCAAAGAAGCATTCTCAATTGAAGACTATAAAAACACGCACGTGTAATATTATCTTATCGTTTTTTATCCTCTTAATTGTCAGATGGGAAAGATACAAATAAATCTAATCATTTTTTCACAAGCTCTTGTGAATATTAAATTGAATTTTATTTGTATGCTTTCATAAGTACAGAATCAGGCTTTTTCTTATATAAAAATTTCGATTAATATTAACGTCACTTTGAAATGATGTGTTGTCAAGCCTACGCTACAGTTTGATATGAAATTTAAATTGGGTGAAAATGAGTGAGATGAGAATATGAGTTGGTACGCCTAACAGTTTTCTTTGTCACGACTATTTTTGACTCCTGTACGGATAGTATATAAGTTAGCAGAGGAAGATTTCCTCTATCTAATGGTGTATATATCATGGAATTCTATGTCGTACCGCTGAAATGTTAATCGAGGGCGTCATCCATCCATCGACTTTCTAATATTTCGAAATAAAACTTCCTAAAACATACATCCTTAGCCAGAGGAATTGTTTCGCTGCAAATCTGCTTGTACTCCGTGCGTAGGTCAAAATCTTATAGGTATCTTGTGGCATGAATGCATCGGTATGCTTTTCAAACATCCTTAACTAACGATGACAAATATGACTACACGCATACGTAATGAGAATAGCATATAGAGCTAAAGGGTTACAAAATTCTTTTGATATATGTTCCTAGAGAATTGAACGGAGAATTTTCATTAAAAAAACTCCAGTTCAGATGATAGATATTGATGAAGATATCGAAAACATATTCAAGAGGCCCATTTTTTTCTGAGGTTCCATTTGAAAATAAAAATTTGATTAATTGTTTTTTCACAAATTTTAGTTTAAAAACACGTGAACATGGTTTGCATACACTTCAAGTTTTATTCTCACAAAAATATCTTCCAGATCAAGTTGCTGCTCGGTATATATTATATTTATATAAAAATATAAAGATATCAATTATTTTTTTGATTTTTGTAGAAGTGAAAATATAATTGAACAATTGATAGCATGTTTAAAAAAAGGAAGTGAATCCGAAGGAAAATTAGCAGCTATTGTTACTTCATTGTTTTGTATTCAACTTGGTGAACCTAATGATGATTTATATGTAAAATTTCGGGATGCAATTATGCCAACATTACGAGATGAAACTAAATCTTTATCATTAAGAACAAGTGTATGTTTATTTAATTTACAAAATAATATTTGTTTTTTTTTGGCTTTGTGTATAGTATGCTCAAGCAGTTGGTATAATTTGTTTTATTACTAGTGAAGATATATCCGTAAGAATAAATTAGTACATAAATTGAAATATTGATTTGTATTTAACTTTACTTTAAGGCTACAGTTGATTTAATGAAATCATTAGAAATAATTTTTTCGAAATCATATTTACTTAATGATGGAACTACACCTATCTTAGCACGTGATCTTCCAGAATTACACACAGCAGCACTTTCGTCCTGGTGTCTTCTTTTATCAACAATGCCTAATAATTATGCTCATGATTTAATACGAATGTAAGTTAATTTGATTAGTGGAATAGGGAAGGTTCTCAAGTGATAAATCATTTTTAAGTTGGGACTGTATTCAATCAATAGGATTCAGTGAATAAGCAAATATTCTAGAGTGGTTAGAGCTGCTGGATCCTTGTTGCTAGGATATCGAATTTTTAGTGGCTTGAAAATCGAAGCTCCACAGAAAAAAGACTATTAAGCATTCGAAAATTCAGCAGCTATAACGATCTGAGAAGACTTACTCATTAGGCCGTATCGATTGAATATAGTTCCAACTTGAAAGCAATTGATCACTTAGGGACCTTTTCTCATGGACTGACCTAATATAGATTTTTCATGGCAGTTAAAAATACACTAAAAATGTTGTTGTTTTCAAATATTTTTACATACAAGTCGAACTTCCAGTAGAGACCGTCGGGTTGGTTTCGATCCCGAATTCGTTGGGCTCTAACTTTGAATCAAGTTCATTAACTTATACAGAATTCAAACCATTTATTGCATGGACTGCTAAAATATTCTTGTTTTCGCCGTCTGATCTTTTGAAAAATAGACAAATCGCTATTATTACTAGTTTCAAAACTTTTTGAAGTTAACTAATTATTGTCACGAATAGTTAAACTTGCGTGTTCATTTGAGAAATTCGACGAATGATTCTTAGTTAGATTATGAGAAAAAATTCAGAGGTTTTTAAATATCTTGACTTATCACAGGAAGTAATCAAGTTTTTTTTAGTAATTTCAATCGTGTGAGATAGTCTTATTACTGAAAAGACGAGAAACGTATATAGCACAAATCTTCAAAAACTAAAGAACAGAAATACTCTACAAACTCCCGCAATTAAACCCGAAAAACTTCACTAGATATTTTTCCAAAATGAAAGTAGAAAGGAGTCCTTGCTCGGTAGTTGCGTCACTTCTCAGTTTAATTTTTATATTCTAAATTTTACAATCTGTTTAGTTATGCACCAGAAAAAATTCCTGGACTTATTGAATCAAGTGATGCTGATTTACGTAATCAAGCTGGTGAAACAATTGCTGTTTTATATGAAATAGCACGAGATATTGATAGTGTATGTAAACTGAAAAACAATGAGAAACAATTTCTAATATTTTATTTAGATTTTTGCGGAGCCGCCTGAATCATTATTAATAACATTAGATAAAAAAGCCAATGACAGTGTAAAATATAAAGGAAAAAAAGAAAAACGTTTACAACGTGCTACTTTTCGTGAAATATATAATTCATTCGAAGTATCAAGAAAAGCTTTTATTTATTTTTTTTAATAAAATTTGACATTTCTTTTTTGAATAGGAAGGTAGATCACCTGAATTTACGATTAAATTTGGTCGAGAAGTATTAGAAATACAATCATGGACAGGACGACTTTATTATAATGGTTTTAGTAATTTATTAGGCGCTGGTATGAATGTGCACTTAAAAGAAAATGGATTTCTCCGTTCAGTTTTTAATTTGGATGATGTTGCAGTTGAAGAAGGTCAAAAAGCGAAAGGCAATCGATTCGAACGAGTATGTTTTTTTAGCAATGATTAAAGAACCCTACCGGACTAGATGATCATCCTTCACTTGAAAAGCCATTTATATCATTTTGTAGAACAATACATGCCGCATCAAATGGTATATAGACAACTAGTTTTTTCGTCAATTTTTAATGTTTTGAGAAGTCATACAACAGATGAAGAATATTACAGCAGTTGTAAGTGATACGACCAAATATTAGAACTCAGTATGTCTACGCATAATAGCTTACTGAGTACTAGAGACTTTGACATTTTTACTAGCTTCTATAATTTCTGGATTTTATGATATTTTGAATTTCTCTTTACTATTCCTGAAAACAAAGGCGATCAACCGTCGACAACAAAACCGTCCAATCAATTTCTAAATGAAGCTAGTTTATCAATTCGAAAGGAGAAAAAAATAGCTGAATTTTCCGATACTTTTTGAGTAAAAAACTTTCTATTCATTAATAAAAAGTTCATCATGCCCTATCACGTGACATATATTAATGACTCAAAAGTGGGAAAAAAATTTCGTTCGAATCTCTCGAAGGTGTAAGGAAATGATTTATCATAAAAATTAGTTTTAATTCTATTTTGTTCCTTACTATTTTAAATTTCGTGTAGCCGAATGTGGTGAGAGAATTGAGTTCTATTAGATTTAATTTATATTCGGACTTTTATGAGAACGAAAAATTTTGCATATTCTTGAAGACCGTCAGAGATCTGACAGCGAAGAAATTGCTTGCCATTGTGGAAAGATCTGCATATGTCAAATCATAGAGCATAATGAACTTATTATTAATAAAAAGAAATTGTCATACACAATTTCTAAGAAAGTTACACGGATGATCGCCTTTAGAAGCATTAGAGAAGAATATAAAATATCATATAAGTCAAAAATTATAGAAGGCCATAAAAATACTAAGGTTTTGAGTAGCACAAAGGCTATCGTGAGTACTATTAGACATATACAATTGAAAACGAGATAGATCTCTATTGTAACAACTGTAAACAATAATTTGACGTAGATTTCTTTGAAGACTGAGTCAAATGTTTGGTCATAT